CCTCTCCCTCTCTCTCTCTTACTCCTTTTCTCTCTCCTTTTCCTCTCCCTGCCCCCCACCCCGGCCCCAAAAGCAAAACCAAAATTTAGAGTGGGAAAATAAATCCATTGCTAAAAGAATAATTTCACATTTGACAAATTTGCACTGTTTTGTGCTGACAACATTGTCAAATCCAGTGCATTTTATTGAAACGACTGTGCGGTTTACTCAAGTGCATGCAAGCGTTCGAAAAAGAACATACACTTTAGTTCAAGTACCTGCTATTTTGGGAGCATATGTAGGCATTATTTGAGTGCTTTAAACAATTACTTTACGCATCGTTCAGGTATCTGGAGTCCAGACTCCTTGATGGAATGTTTTGTTGCCTTTGCCCCGTTCGTGTGCCTTGCAGCGACTGCTGGGTATTTTGTGTCACGCCCAGCATCACGTCACCGTCACGCCGCGCGCCCTATCTGGTCCAGTAGTGGCGCCCCGGTGGCGCCCGCCGCCCGCTACCTCGGAAAAGCGATTTCCCTCCGACTGAATACACGATTTGTAGCCGGCGCGGACGGTACGGTGCGTCCCGGGACGCCCCTCCCCACCCCCTCTATCTCGGGCGCACGGCACGGACATTCTGCATTGCAGCAGCAGAGTGCGTAGAATCAATCCCCACCCCATCTGCTGAGTCAAGGGCTTAGCCGCGCCCTCGCTGTGCCCCTTCCTGTGACTAGGGCTGCGAAACTTCTCATCTTTTTATGTTGTTTTGGCGATGTGAAGAGCGAGCCCTGAAAGACATTTTCTCATACCTGTGCGCCGTGTTTTATTGCATTATTTCGGAGGGTGCCCGGAGGAACGCGCCGGGCCGTAGCAAGGCGGAGCAGTGGGCAAGGCCGGAGTGGAATTTTGGCCAACAACAAATTTTAATGAGAAATTCAGCGAGGACAAGGGGCCGGACAGCCGTAGGCCCGGGCAGGCGGCGGTGGCGGCGGCGCGCCAGGGCGGCGGGGGCTGCAGGACTGCGGACGTGATCGGAATACGCGCCGTGCGTGTGCAGGCGGGCGGGGGGCCCAGCCCGCCAGGACCCGCCAGGACCCGCCAGGACCCGCAGGACCCGCCAGGACCCGCAGGACCCCACAGGGCCGCCTGTCCGGCCCGGGCGGACCCGGGGCTGCAGCCCGGGGGGGGGGCCTCCCCCCCTCCAGCCCGCGCGGTCCTAACGCTCCTGCCTGTGCCCCGGACGCCACACGGCGCGCGCTCGCCACCCTTTGAAGGCGCCGGCCGGCCCTGCCGGTGGTGGAGGTGGCGTGTAGGTGCAAGAGGGACAGAGAAACAGGCAGACAAAGAGACAAGGAGCTGGAGGTGCCACTGTGAAAGGCCTCCTCCGTGTGAGAGAAACACAGCTCGGCGACGTGTCTTAGGGCCTTAAAGTCACTCTGAGGAACCCCTGCTCCGCGCGATGCACGAGAAACGCGGTGGGGGTCCCGCGCGTCATTTCCAGCGCGCAGCGCAGCAGCGCCACTACTGTGCGTGTGTGTGTGTGTGTCTTTTTGTTTTCAGGCTGCGAGTGGAATCAATGCCTCCTTTGTGTGTATTATTCGTCGATTGTGTTTCATACCCTTTGCAGTCTCTCTGCTGCTAGAGGGACTTCATTGCTATGACACTCGCGCGCCTGTGCCCCTGTGCGCCACCGTGTGTGTGTGTTTGAACGTGTGCGCCAGTCCACTGTGTGTGCGGGCCAGGCCAGAGCCACAGAGGTGGTGCCTGCCTGCGACGCGCACGGCGGGCGGAAACAAAGCTCGCGCAAAGGTGATTAGCATCGCCACTGACCAGCCTGTCCGTCTCTGTCTGCTTGCAGGTTCACAGGAGCACAGCAGTCAGTCCCCCGGACCAACCACAACTACAACAGCAACAACAGCGGTGTCGCGCACCACCGTACCGCAGCAGCAGCTGACCGCGTGTGTGTGTGTGTCGCAGTGCATAATTAATCCACGTATCGTTGTGGTGTTGGTGTTCGCGCGTGTCAGTGTGTGTGTGTGTGTGTGTGTGTGGCCCGGCCCAGGGCGCTGTGCCAAGCCAAGTAATGACCTCCTAATTGGTCGGGAGCGGCGTCGAACCGAAAAGTGAAGTGCTTCTCGCGTGTGTGATGGAATAACCCTGCCCCTGCCCGACATCGACGACCCTCTCAGCGTGTCGTCGTCTCCGTCGTCGTCGCGGGACCTCCTCATCGTCGCCATGGTGGTGGCCAGGATGCCGTCGATGACCCCGCCCTCTTCTTGGATCGCGGCGTTGGCCCTGGTCGCCGTCCTCAGCTTTGCCGAAGCAGGTGAGTCCCTTGCTTGGTAGTAATTTAGGTAGCACTTGCAAACATGTAATGCGGAGAAAATCCGTTGGAATTGCGAAGAAATTCCTGCGCAGGTTTTCAAGGCAGCCAAATCCTTAGCAACGCGAGAAAGGCCCTTTCTTTTGTTTTCCGGTTGAATCAGAACTGTCGGGGAAGTATATAGAAGGGGAGCGGGGGAGCGCAGGACTTTTGCTCTTCTTTTCTTGTGTTTCACGTGGGTGGAGTGTTTGGTCGGTGTCGCCTGCTCCCCCCCCC